AGTAAGCTTTTTTTTCCCCTTTCCTTTACCTTCTTAACCAGTTACACTTTAACCAGTTACATCTGGAAGTAGAGATAACAACGAACACCTTTCCTTCCATACTACTTATAGCCTCAGAATCTTGGAAACTGAGAAATTGAGGAAACAACCTTAACATGTATCAGAGAAGGGTACCATCATGTATTAAAGTGAAAGTTAAGAAGTCATCTTGGTTTCTGCACCTCACATAGTATTTTTATACTGCAGACAGTTGTCCAGGCAGCTAGTTGAGGCCCACTTTGAAATGTGGACTTGAGAACCTGGCAACATTTCCCATATGAGTTAGCAAGAAATATTATCTTCCAGTAATTCTATTGGATACATATTTTGTGTGTGAGCTCTTTTTTTTTGTCTATTTCCTATAATGGGCTATAATTTACTACACACACAACAAAACTCAACACTCATTTAGAGAGGCATTTACTACTAAATATAGGAAATAAAATGAATAGGAGAGATTGGTCAGTTTAAGAAACACTATATGGACCTAGAAAATAGTACAAATTGAAATGGTAGATCACTGACTTTCTGCTATTTGATATGATGTGTTGAGTTATTTCCAATTGTGTCTGACTCTTCATGACCCCATTTGGGGTTTTCTTGGCAAAGATACTGGAGTGATTTGCCATTTCCTTCTCCAGCCCATTTTACAGATGAGGAAACTGAGGCAAACAGGGTTATGTGACTTGCCCAGGGTCATATAGCTAGTAAGTGTCTGAGGCCAGATTCATCCTCCTGACTTCAGGCACAGTTCTCTCTCCACCCTGAATTTAACATGGTATTCTGCTTTAAATTTTATTAAGGACATTAGGAGAGGTAGATTAGACATTAGAGCCCAAGGTACAGTTCAGAACATTCATAAACTCTAATGAATTTATTATTTCATTTATGTGGATGTTCCCACCAACAGTACAGATTACAAACCCATCCATATCTACTTATTTGATTTTTATCCACATTCTCTCATATGTTTATCATAGGGTGTCAGCCCAATATATTAGAGGCCTCCCTCACTTTCTTTTGAAAGAAAACCCTTGCTTTCTCCACATGATGACCAGATACTATGGTGTTTCATGATTAGTAACCATACACAGCCACCAATAGAATACTGGTGTTAACAAGATGGACCTTAATTTTAGGGATAAGTTTGGACAAAATAAAAGAGCTCTTTAATTTCCCATGGTCAATCCAGCCAACACATACTTAATTCTGAATCCAATTGGTTGTACATATTCTGTGTGTGTTCATGATGATGGTGAATATCTTCTGCAAACTTATGCTTTATTTCCTATCAGATATTAAAATGGCTGGGTGTTGTAAGTTATTTGTATTTCCATGTCTTTCAACAGTTCTGCATTATTCTGAGGCATACATAGGAGAAACCTTGTTAGAAGTTTTTAAGGTAGTTTTTTGATCTACCAAAACAAGATCTTTTTCTATAGTCAACAGATAGTAAGCACAGTTGAGATCTTGTGTTCCTGTGCATCTTTCAGTCAATTGTACATTGGTAAAGCTGAGGTAAATTGTAGCATGTGTCTTGCAGAGGTCTGCTTCTTCCCTGCTAATACTGTCATCAACGATGCCTTTGGTGCATGTGTAGATTATTCTCATAAAGTTTTATATAGATGGGAAAATAGACATACAGGTCAGTTGATGATCTCTCAGTCACCTTTTTTTGGAGGGGGAGGTGTATATTAATAAGGTCTGAGATTATTTTTCCATGTCTTTGGTATTTTCATTTCTTTTAGATACTTTGTGAAGCAAGGTGATACCTTGTGAGGGTGAATCCCTTAAAAACTTTCACTTATGTTATCTGAAGAGCAGATGTCTTCTATGTACACTTGGTCTAGTGCACCTGCTTTTCTCATTTTTGTTCTCTTTAGTGCCTTTTCTACTTCCTCTGTAAGCACTTCTGGCACTGATGTTAAGAGTCCCAAGTGTTCTTTATGGTGAAAAGATTTTATTATAAAAATCTTTGGAATCTTTCCCATTTTTTCCTTTATTGGCTAGTCATTTTCATCCTTAAATGTTCTTTGCATAATTTTGCCTAGAATCCCTTGTCAACCTCTCTTTAAACGTAAGTTTTATCTCCAGTAAAAGTAAACTGGTTTGGGGTAGGTAGGTGGCGCAGTGGATAGAGCACCATCCCTGGATTCAGGAGGACCTGAGTTTAAATCTGACCTTAGACACATAACACTTACTAGCTGTGTGACCTTGGGCAAGTCACTTAACTCCATTTCCTAGGCCCCCCCCCCCAAAAAAATGTAAACTGGTTTTATTTTTCCTCCTTTCTCTGTTTCATTTTTTGTAAGACTTTAGAAATCAGTTTATACTCTATGTCTGTGCCTAGCAAGTAAGTCAAACATTTATCATAAGGCATTTTTTGGCTGTTTTGTTTCCTCGCTATGGCCATTGATTTACATTGTTTGAACTTTTGCAGAAAATTACTGTACTGGGTATCCATTATTTCTTCCATCCACATCCCATGTTCATTATTCTGTGATTTGTTTAAATAGGTCAGGATGGAGTTATTTTAATTGTATGCTATGTCTCTTTCTTGTTTTTGTTCTTTAGGCTGACTTTGTACTAATTTTCCCCCTTTTCATTTAATTTTTAAATATAAACTTAACAATGACCAACAAACACAAATATTTCAGTATACGAAGAATAGAAAAGAGGATTGTATTTGAAACTATGAACAGTTTTTCTCTAAAAACTGCATGTTAAATTTAACAGGATAGTAACAAAATTACCCTTTCTGTGTACCCGTTTTGTTTTTTTTCTTGTACTTTGAAAAGGTTCTCTCATGAATCCGTAGTCAGCTCTCTCCTTTGTTGCCAGGGATCGTAACACTCCTTGAAACTACTTCTAACCCCTGGCCTCCCTGCCTCAACTGTTATATTTCTTTCTCCCCTTTCTTCGTCCTTCTCTCCTCCTTGTCTTCTCCCTCCTCTCATCTCTCTCTTCCCCTTCCTTTCTCCCTCTCTTTTGTTCTTTCATTCTCTTGTCTTCCTAACTACCTCTTTCCCTTTCTGTTTCTCTCTGTCTCTGTATGTCTGTCTGGTTCTCTTTTCTCTCTCATTCCATCCCTCCCTTCCTCCATCCCTTTCTCCCTTCTATTGGGCAAGTAGCTTTTCTGCAAGGACATCATGGCAGAATGAGAGGTGACATGGGATGAGAAACTAAGGGATCACACTCCATATAACTGTTCCCTTCCTCAACATCTACAAAGCTTAGCTTTTTAAAGGACAACAGGTGGGTGGCCAGTCTTCAGCCAGTCAGTGCCAAGCTTACCTCCTATTTCAATCAGGGAAACTTTGCACTTCATAAAAGAGTAAAAGGGGGATATCATGTGTATTTATACTTAATTTTACATATTAACACCTTATTACCACCTTAATCTGATTCTAATTTTTTTCCTGTCATACTAAATGTGCTGGTGAGTGGAGAGAAACCATCTCCCCCCTCCCTCCTTAAGCTCCCCAAAACTCATTTATAGCAATTAATTTCATAGGAAAATTTATTTTTAATTCCAAACTTATTTGCAGATGAACTCTTGTAACATAACCCATTCATAAAACGGGGGCTGCCCATTTGTGATAAAATTAGCTATATGAGATTATGTTAGTTTTATAATCAAGTGAGCTTGACGTACTACCTTGTATAGGAGGTCTTTCTTGATCCTACCAGGTACTAGTGGGAAGGAAGGAAGGAAGAAATAAGCATTATATAGCACCTACTATGTGCCAGGTGCTGTGCTAAGCACTTTACAAATATCTTATTTGGTCCTCACCACAGCCTACTGTCAAGGTAGGCTCTTACTATCTCCATTTTACAATTGAGGAAAGTTAAGTAACTTGCCCAGGATCCCACGGGTAGTAAGTGTCTGAGGCTGGATTTGAATATGAATCTTATTGACTCCAGGCCCAGCACTCTATCTACTGCTTCACTTAGTTGATTCATTGGGATCTACTTATTCCTGTCCCTGTTCTCTCATTTTTTAGTGTTTACTTATGTTTTTTTCCGGGACCAGGAAAATGTAAGCTCCTTAAGGCAGGAGCTATTTAGATTTTTTTTGTCTTTTTACTCCCACTTCCTACCACAGGGTCTGACGTGTAGTAGGTACTTAATAAATGCTTGTTGAATTGAGGAGCCAGCAGGATATGTAACATGTTAGAGCTTATGTGTTAGTAAATGGCCCTTTATTAGTCTGAAAGAATTAATGCATCTCAAATAACAGGTATCCAATTTAATCTTACCAAAAAGTTTTACTTAGACTAGATCATGATCAGATCAGATCTATGGTCAGCAGTATAAATGTTATTATGCTGGTTGTTTCTTGTGTAGGATAACAAACTGGATCAAACCTACAATAGTCAGTTTGTGAGGGTGGGTTCATCTTAAGGGTATTTTATTTTTTCTTAGTTTTCTGATATTTAAGGAAATGTACAAATTTTGAATGAATAATAAATGAAGTAGCATTTATTAAGCACTTACTATGTGCCAATCTCTGTACTAAGTGCTAGGGATACAAATCTAAAAGATAGCTTCTACCTCAAGGAACTGAGTAGGGGTTGGAAGATTGGTTGTGGGTGTTTTCCCTTCATCCTTTGCAAACCAGTCCTATTCTTGATCTCCTAGGGCTCAGTTTGAACTAAGCAAAACTGGAATCCTATGGCAATATTATCCTTTACAGAACTGACTCTGTTTCAAGGAAAGTAGGGCAGGTAATCACAAAAACCAAACATTTGCTTGGCCCTTAATCTATTTGATATAACCAAAATGGAATTTACTGGAAAGGATTTTTGGTTGACGGATGTCACACAACTCATGTGGAAAGAGATGAGCAGTCTGTATGTCATGCCATTTCTTCTTATCATTTGTGGGCTACATCTAAGCATTTAATATTTTATAATTTATAATAGCTTTTCTTTTGAAAATATGTTTTATACGTTCCATAGATATCAATGGGACAAATGTTGCAAGACTTTGGAAAATTTCTTGGGATGTTCCTTCTCGTCTTGTTTTCCTTCACAATTGGACTGACCCAACTATATGACAAAGGTTATACAGCTCCTCAAGAACAGAAGGACTGTGCAGGAATCTTCTGTGAACAGCAAAGCAATGACACATTCCATTCGTGAGTTGTTGGCTTTTTTTTCTTTTTCTTAATCATTTACTTAATGTTTTATTTTTCCCCAGTTACATGTAAAAACAATTTTTAACATTCATTTTTAAAAATTCTGAGTTCCCAGTTCTCTCCCTCTCTCCCCTTTCCACTTCCTAAGATGGCAGGTAATTTGATAGAGGTTATATATGTGCAGTCATGCAAAACATATTTCCATATTAGTAATATTTTAAAAGAAAACACAAGCCAAAAAAAAAACCCCAAGAAAAATTTTTAAAAAAAAGTATGCTTGTATCTGCGTTCAGACTCCATCAGTTCTTTCTCTGGTGATGGACAGTATTTTTCATCATAAGTCCTTTGGAATTGTCTTGGATCATCGTATGGCTAAGTTGTTCACAGCTGATCATCGTACAACATTGCTGTTACTGTGTACACTGTGCTCCTGGTTCTACGCACTTCACTTTGTATCAGTTCATGTTAGTATTTCCAGGTTTTTCTTAGAGCATCCTGCTTATCCTTTCATATAATAGCACAATAATATTCTGTCACAATCATATGCCATGACTTGGTCAGCCATTCCCCAATTGATGGGCATCTCATCAATTTCCAATTCTTTATCACCACTAAAAGAACTGCTGTAAATATTTTTGTACATATAGGTCCTTTTACTTTTTGCTTTTTATCTCTTTAGAATACAGACATAATAGTGGTATTGCTGGGTCAAAGGGTATGTATGGTTTTATAGCCCTTTGGGCATAGTTCCACATTGTTCTACAGAGTGGTTGAATCAGTTTACTACTCTATCAGCAGTACATTAGTGTCTCAGTTTCCCCATATCCCCTCCAACATTTGTCATTTTCCTTTTCTGTCGTATTAGCCAATTTGATAGGTGAGGGGTAGTACCTTAGAGTTGTTTGAATTTTCATTCTTTAATCAGTAGTGATTTAGAGCAGTTTTTCATATGATTATAGATAACTTTGATTACTTCATCTGAAAACTGCCTATTCATATCCATTGACTATCAATTAGGGAATGGCTCTTATTTTTATAAATTTGACAAAGTTCTCTATATATTTAAGAAAGGAGGCCTTTATCAGAGAAACTTCCTGTAAATTTTTTTCACAGTTATGATTACTAATTATATTTCCCTTCATTCTGTTTTCCCCATTTATCCTACTCTCTCTCCTTCACCCTGTTCCTCCTCAAAAGTATTTTGCTTTTGTCAACCACCTGCCCCAATATGCCTTCCCTGCTATCATTTCCTTTCCCCTTTTTTTATCCCCTTCCTTTCTTACTTTACTGTAGTATAAGATAGATTTCTATACCCTACTGAGTGTGTATGATATTCTTTCTTTGAGTCAATTCTGATGAGAGTAAGGTTCAAGTACTCCCTCCCACCTCCCCCACCTTTCTCTCTACTGTAAAGCTCTGTTGTGCCTCTTTTATGTGGGATAATTTACCCCATTCTCCCTTTCCTTTTCCCCTTCTCCCAGTGCATTCCTCTTTCTTAGCCTTTAATTTAATTTAATTTTTTAAGAGATCATCCCATCATATTCAGTCTCATACCTATACCCTCTATCTGTGTATACTCTTTCTTACTGCCCAAATAATGATAAAGTTCTTAGGAATTACAAATATCATCTTCTCATGTAGGAATGTGAAGAGTTTAACCTTATTGACTTCCTTATGATTTCTCTTTCCTGCTTACCTTTTTATGCTTTTCTTGAGACTTTTATTTGAAAGTCAGATTTTCTATTCAGCTCTGGTCTTTTCATTGGGTCTACTTGAAATTCCACTGTTTCATTGAATGTCTGTTTTTTCCCCTGAAGCATTATACTCAGTTTTTCTGGTTAGATGATTCTTGGTTATAATCCTAGCTCCTTTGCTCTCTGGAATATCTTATTCCAAGTTCTCTGGTCTTTTAATATAGAGGCTGCTAAATCTTGCGTTATCCTCACTGTGGCTCCATGATATTTGAATTGTTTCTTTCTGGCTGCTTGTAATATTTTCTCCTTGAGCTGGGAGCTCTGGAATTTAGTTATAATATTCCTGGGAGTTTTCATCTTGGGATTCAGGAGGTGATTGGTGGATTCTTTGAATTTCTGTTTTACCCCCTGATTCTAGAGTATCAGGGAAGTTTTCCTTGATAATTTATTGAAAGATATTTAGATTCTTATTTTGAACGTGGCTTTAGGGTAGTCCAGTAATTCTTAAATTATCTCTACTTGATCTATTTACCATATCAGTAGTTATTATTGAATCATATTATTCAATGAGATATTTCACATTTTCTTCTTTTTTTCATATTTTGATTTTGTTTTATTGTTTCTTGGTGTCTCATGGAGTCATTAGCTTCCACTTGTTCAATTCTAATTTTTAAGAAATTATTTTCTTTATTGAGCTTTTGATCTTCCTTTTCCATTTGGCCAATTTTGCTTTTTAAGGCATTCTTCTCTTCGTTAGATTTTTGTGCCTCTTTTACCATTTGGCCTATTCTGTTTTTAAGGTGTTATTTTCTTCAGTATTTTTTATGCCTCCTTTACCAAGCTGTTGACTCTTTTTTCATGATTATCTTGTATCACTTTCATTTCCTTTCCCAATTTTTCCTCTGCCTCTCTTATTTGATTTTTAAAATCCTTTTTGAGCTCTTCTTGGAATTCTTTTTGGGCCTGAGACCAAATTCACATTTTTCTTTGAGGCTCTTTGGATATGGCGGTTTTGACTTTATTGTCTTCTTCTGAGTTTGTGTTTTGAGCTTCCCTGTCACCATAGTAACTTTCTGTAGTCACAATCTTTTTGTTTGTTTGTTTGCTTGCTCATTTTCCTATCCTATTTCTTGACTCTTAGCTTTATATTAAAGTTGGGCTTTGCTCTTGGGATGGAGGAGGTACTATCCTAAGCTTCAGGTTTTTTGTGCTGCTGTTTTCAGAGCTAATTCTGAGGATTTGTAAGCTTTTGGTTCTTCCAAGGTGGTATGATCTAAGGAGAGATATATTTACTACTCTCCTAGTCTGTGCTCTGGTCTGTGAGTAGCCACAAGTACTCTTTTCTGCCCAGGGAGTCTGTGACCAGCTCCCTGCCTCTCTGTGGCCACAGGCTCTGGTGCTCCTTCTTGCCGAGGATTGAGACCCAGGGCTGTGACCCAGATCTGAGTGTGGGTAATATAACAGAGTCCTGTGCTCAGTGCCAGCAAAAAGACCCTTGTAATCTCCTTCTGATGAGTCGTCCGGCCCCCCTTAGTGTCTGTGGGCTGAGAGGTCTAGAAAATGCTGCTGCATATTCAGTCATCCCCAAGGCCTCCTGTTGGTTTCCTGTGGCGTGGCCTGATCTGGACTATGCTCCATTCTCACCCTGGTGAGCTAGACCTTTTCTGCTGAACTCCTAAATTGTCTTGGGATGGAAAATTGTTTCACTCTATCCTTTTGTGGATTCTGCTACTCCAGAATTTGTTTTAAGGCATTATTAAAGTTGTTTGAGGGGAATTTGGGAGAGCTCAGGTGAGTCCCTGCCTTTTCTCTGTCATCCTAGCTCCATCCCCATTGGCTTTTGGGAAAAAAAAACCCCAAAACAACCTTTAATGATGACCACATATCCCGTAAATGGTATTCTTCTGTTTTTGAACTGATGATATGAATCTTCTCATTTCCTCTTTCCCTCAAAAAAAGCTGAGTTAATGTGGATTGTTTTCTTCACTTATGTCCTATAATAAAGTCCCAAAAGGGCCCAACATGTGATTTATTATTCCTAGAATGTTTTTAAAAATTATTTACCTTTTCCGTTACATCTAAAAGTTTCAGAAAGAAAAAAAATTTATATGTAACATTTGTTTGCCAATTCATCACAGAAATATCCCTGGGAAACTTAAAAATGTCTTTGGGAAACAATTCAGTCTTTATGTGGGAGTTTGATGAATCCTTATTGTATGACTGATAACTTTTGAAAAGTTGTTGTTCTGTTGTTTTCAGTCGTATCCAACTTTTTGTGACTCCATTTGGGATTTTCTTGACAAAAATACTGGAGTGGCTTGCCATTTCCTTCTCTAGCTCTGAGGCAAACAGGGTTAAGTGACTTGTCCAGGGTCACACTGTGTCTGAGGTTGGATTTGAAGTTAGGAAAATGAGTCTTCCTGACTCCAGGTCCAGCACTCTATCCACTATGCCACTTAGCTGCCTTAGAAAAATATAATATAATTTAAAATTAATAGCTTCTATCTCAAGGACCTTACTAAGGGATGGAAGATTGGTTGTGGGTATTTTCCCATCATCCTTCGCAAACCAATCTATTCCTGATCTCCTAGGGCTTGGTTGGAACTAAACAAAACTGGAATTTTTTTTTTAGAAAAATTAATATGTTTTAAACATAGATTATATGAGTTCAAATACCACTGGATTCAGGGCACTAATTTTTCGTCTTTTTTGTTTAAGCTTCATAAAAATTATGTGTGTGTAATAAGGAATTCAACATTTTCAGTTCTCAGATGGGTTAAAGTCCACCCTTAATATTTAATTTTTTTAAATGAAAGGACAAGGGAAATTAATTCAGGACTCTATAGTTTTTATTAATGTATTTGGGGTTTGTGGGGTGGGGAAAGGTGGAGTGAATGATAGTTATAGATGTCTTAGAAAAATTCCTGGACTGAAGTGTTAGACCAGAGTCATTAGAAAATCTTAATTTTAATTAAGTTCTAAATATTAATCTCTAAGTAAGAGATTATCATTTAGTTTGGCAGAATCATATAGTCAGAATTACATAGAATTTTTAAGGTAATTATGATCTGCTTTTGTGAACTTATCTGTAACATACCAGATTTCACATTATACATACATTTTTGAAAGTTGAATTTTACCGATAAAATAATTTTAAATCACCAAGGGACTTTGTTATTGAAAATGTATTATAAGTTCTACAATCAACTTATTGGTATAATTTATCTTGTTGTAAGTCCAAATTTCCATGTATTTGTTTTTGTTTTAAAGCAAAGTATGTCTCTGTTTGAGTACTAGAATAAGAAAATTTGTATAAACTTCATTTATTAAGTATTTATTATTAGAATATCGACATTTTCTTTAAATAGTTTTGATGGAAGTGATTTACTTATTTTGCTGTTTTGTTTAACAAAAAATTTTTACTGTTTTTTCAGGTTCATTGGCACTTGCTTTGCTTTGTTCTGGTATATTTTTTCTTTAGCACATGTGGCAATCTTTGTCACAAGATTTAGCTACGGTGAAGAGTTGCAGTCTTTTGTTGGAGCGGTTATTGTTGGCACATACAATGTCGTGGTTGTTATTGTTCTTACCAAATTGTTAGTGGCCATGCTTCATAAAAGCTTTCAGCTGATAGCAGTAAGTGTTCCATTATTCTAAAAAAGTGTCTTTGTACTTCTCAGTTAATATTAAATCTAGAAACAAAAAAAGTTAGAAAATATGAAGGATAGTATCATTGTAGCCTCGATTGTACGCATTAATTTTAGAAAAGTATACATTTTAGCTTTTAATATAGATTTTTTTACAATATAAATAATGTCTATGATGAATTTCTATACCATTAGTATGTAGTAATGAGGTAAATCATTTTCTTTAATGTATATGGAGACCTTGATAGTTTAAGGCTACACATGGGGATTTTTAACATATGTTTTTAAACCTCATTTTTCATATGCCTTACATTATAGAACCACGAGGACAAAGAGTGGAAATTTGCCCGTGCTAAGTTGTGGCTTAGCTACTTTGATGATAAATGTACACTACCTCCACCTTTCAATATCATTCCTTCTCCCAAGACCATCTGCTATCTACTAAGTAGCCTCAGTAAGTGGATTTGCTCTCATACATCAAAGGGCAAGGTCAAACGACAAAACAGCTTAAAGGTAAGAAATGGTGCAAATTTAGGTTCAGCCTATAAAGTTTCATTTAAGTTTAAAAATTAGACTCAGCTAATAAAATGCCATGAAGGCAAAATAATTGCCAATCTCGATATCTTAAAGCCTATTTTAAATTTCAGATTGGGGTTAAAAGTTTTTCTCTTTCCTGAGTACGTAATTTTTTTCTTTTAAAGCAAAAAAAAATATTATGAACAGTGCAAGCAAATTATATCATAAAAGAAAGGATTTGTTTTCTTTGAATAAATAATTTAGTACATGTTGCAGTGATATCACATTAATTACCATAGCTTCATACTTCCACAAATTAGTTTGAAGTAAGCAAGTATGAAAAACTATCAAGTGACTGTGTAATTACAGGAATATTACGGATCAAGAAAGAAGTATTTAAGCTTCTAGGATTATATGTTGGTATATTTGAGTATTGTCAAAATTTTTAAAAATATATCTTGTTTGCGCACATATAAATAACCATAACTAGTAGAGATATATTATTCTTTATTTTAAAGGAATGGAGAAACCTGAAACAAAAGAGAGATGAAAACTACCAAAAAGTGATGTGTTGCTTAGTCCATCGTTATTTAACTTCCATGAGACAGAAGATGCAAAGCACAGATCAGGCAACTGTAGAAAATCTCAATGAACTACGCCAAGATCTATCAAAATTCCGAAATGAAATAAGAGACTTACTTGGCTTTCGGACTTCTAAATATGCTATGTTTTACCCAAGAAATTAACTTATTTCTAGGCCATGGATATTTACATAATTTGCAACTAAATTTATTAAGGTGTGGGTTGGAATGTAGAAATAATGTCAAAGCCATTCTTTAAAGACTTATAGGTTAATTATGTACGTTATATAAAATATGTATATACTTTAAAAAATCCACTGAGCATGGATTTTAGTAGGAGCAATTTAACAGACAGAATTTTATAGCCTTTTGTTTTACTTTCTCATCTTTTGGGGGGGGATATTTGTGACTACATCTATTATTCAAAAGCTATATCAAGTACTTAAAAGTAAATGTGGATTGATTTTACTCTGTGAGATACATAGGGAATGTAGAACTACTGGTTTTAAGAATGTAAAAAATTAGCATGATATAGCTGAGTTTAGTGTTCATTTTTTAGGAATACAACTTTATTTGGGCTATTACAGTCTTTTTCTTTAACCTGGGGAAAGCTCCTAGAACTTTAAAAACAAAAACCAAAAATAAGGATTTAGAATGGTTTTCTTTGTGGTTATAATATAACTTTTGTTTCTGTGAACATTGAAGAGAATCTTGTTTTCCAACAATATTTATTGCAGAAGTTTATTTTACATTTAAACTATCTTTGATTTATTGTGCTAAGTATCAAAATATTTTACACAGTTTAACATAGCTTCTATAAGTATGACTTTGTGTTTATTTGTATATGATTCTTCCTGCTTACAATGGAAAAGTGTTTTTTTGTTTTTTTTGCTGAAGAGTATAATATATTTGATTATTTTGTGCTTTGTAGGGAATAGAATTAAATTTTTTTGAAAATCTGTTATACTCCTGCCACAGAATTGAAAGGTAGGATTTCCGTTAAGTGGAAGTTAAGCATAATCTTCTCACTTGAATGTTAGCTAGTCTTATGAACATAGGGTGCAGGTAGCCCTAGGTCCATAAGCATTATTGATCCAGGGATCATAAAATAGAGGTTTTAGGTATAATGTGTTTCTTCCTTTTTTCTTTTTTAATGGAATTACCAAACTGTAAGTGGTCCCTCTTTTGGGTGAATTCTTATATAAAATATTTATTGTAAAATTATATATTTTGTCTACTATAAAATTATGCACATCACATTTGGGATTTAACATCAGGATTTTCATTCATTCTAAAAATAATACATGGTAAAAAAAAAAAAGATACTTATTGAGCACCTAGTGTGTGCATGAATTACTTATGGGGGTATATTTTGAATGATAGCATTGTAAGAAAAAAATAATAAAATTTGACTTTGGATTATACATTGGCATAATGTTTATCTGTTGTATTAAAATGTACTTGAAAAACAAAAAAGAAATAAAACTAAATGAAAAAGATAACATTTTGACTAAATGAAAATACGGTAATGAAAAATGAAGTTAGCATGTAAGGTAAACTGGCCAAATTTGACCTAAATCTAATATTGAGGTCAAGTAGCTAATAGTTATTGGCTATTTGTCTGGCATCCATTCTAGAAATTAACATTCTGTTTTGGACAGTTGATATTTTCGTGGATTTCAGGCCAAGAACCACTTCCCCTTTCCCCGTACACATACCCAAAATGTGTTTGTTAACTCTGCCTTGCTCTTTTCTATTTTTGTGAACAGTTCTAGACCCATTGTCTTGTGTTCCTCAGCACTTTCTTAGTCTGGTGACATGGTAGACCTTTTCTTCTAGAAATATGACCGTATACATGGGTTAACATTGAAAAAAAATCCTGACATTTATGTTGTGCTTTGTAGTTGACAAAATTCATTCTTTTTTTTTTTTTTTTGTTGGTGAAGCAGTTGGGGCTAAGTGACTTGCTCAGAGTCACTCAGCTGGTGAGTGTTATGTGTCTGAGGCCAGATTTGAACTCAGGTCCTCCTGTCTCCAGGGCCAGTGCTCTATCCACTGCACTACCTAGCTGTCCCAACCAAATTCATTCTTGACACCAACTTTTGAGGTAGGATAGGTATTATCTCAATTTCACAGATTCAACATTTATTAAGTGCCTATTTTGTATAAGGCACTTTGCTAAGTGCTGGGTATATAAATGAAATAGATGAGGAAACAGCTTCAGAGAAGCTAAGAGGCTTATCCAAAATCACATGGCCAATTAGGGGTGGAGGCATTCTTTGAATTCAGGTAAGTCCAGTATCTTTCCACAATGCTATGCTGCCTTTCCAAAATAATTTGAATAATTTCAGCATTAAGATGTTCTAGAGGGGCAGCTAGGTGGGCGCAGTGAATAGAGCACTGGTCCTGGATTCAGGAGGACTTGAGTTCAAATCCGGCTCCAGGCACATAACACTTACTAGCTGTGTGATCCTGGGCAAGTCACTTAACCCCATTGCCTAGCCAAAAAAAACAAAACCAAAACAAAACAACAACAACAAAAAAAAAATGTTCTAGAGGCCCAGGAGTGGGCCACATGTGGCCTTCCAGGTCCTTGCGTGCGGCCTTTTGACTGAGTCCAAGTTTTACAGAACAAATCCTTTTGTTAAGGGGATTTGTTCTGTGAAGTTTGGATTCAGTCAAAGGGCTGCACTTGAGGACCTCTAGGGCTTCTTGTGGCCTTGAGGCCACGTGTGTTCTACTTACTCTCTCAAGAAAGTAAAATAAGGGGGCAGCTAGGTGGTACAGTGGATAGAGATCTGGCCTTGGAGTCAGGAGGACCTGAGTTCAAATCCAGCCTTAGCCAGTTGACACTTAAACTAGCAGTGTGACCCTGAGCAAGTCACTTAACACCAATTGCCTCACCAAAAAAAAAAATGCAAAAAAAAAATTAAAAAAGAAGAAAGCAAGATAGGGCTTCGTCCCTTCCTTATTGACTCTCCTATTATTTAGACTGAATCGTCAATCATTATTTTTCCTGATTTTGAATTGGTAATTTCTTACAAGACTTCTTGTCACATAGTTATTTTCTAGAGAAAAAGTTTCCAAAAATTGTATCTGGTTTTATAATAGTGTATGATATGATGAATTAACATCATACCCTAAAGACAACCACACTCCACTACTGACCCATAGTATTTGATCATTCAGCATGAATTACATATTAAAATTTTAAGCCAAAAGCCTTTCTTAAAAATGCCTTAAATCTTACTGTTTGATGGATGTGCTTATAGCCGACATCCCCATCAGCATTGTTATCTTGAATAATATCACAAACTGAAATATATGTTCATCCTATTCGATAAGCTCTGTTCTAGCCAAACTAAGTCAGTTGTTCCTTGAAACTGACATTCCATCTCCTTCCCCTGTCTATCCACTATCCTTTATGTCTGGAATGCATGCTGTCCTCATATTTGCCTCCCAGAATCCTTGTCTTCTGGGGTCCACTCAGGTGCCATTTCTTCTTCAAAGCCTTCCCTTATTCCTCCAGTAGCTAGTGTCCTCTCTTTCCTCATTTTACTTTGTGCTATGCTTCTCTTTGTGCATATACCTCCAGAGGAATACTTAAATACTTGCTAAATTGAATCAAATTCATGAACTCATGCTATTTAAAGTTATTTGGTTTGGTTATTTACCTGAAGAGGGAAAATAATAGGTTTCAGTCTCGTGTTTCTTAAAATGTAATTATCTTAAAATTTTTTTGGTCAACTTTGTAATAAGCGTACAAACTGATATCAATGGCAGCTTTATCAAGAACTACCACTGTAACTTCTTCTAATCCTTATTCATTCAAACGAATTTTTTCATATTCACTGAATAACCACAGGTATGTTGTAGAGGACACTGTTGTTTAGGTGTGTAGGTTGGACTGTAAGGTCCCTTCCAGTTCTGAGATTCTGCTAAAACATTATTTAGTCAACTGCCCATTTGTCATTTTCAGCAAGATTGCATTTTCTTGAAACCAGTTGTTATTAATTGTGGTATGGCTGTATATAATACTTTTAGTTCTGCCCTCTTAGATATACTTCGAAAAAAGGGAGAGGAGGAATTCTGACTGTTATTTAGATATGCCCCATGCTTTGCTACTCACTATAAATTACAATCTCATCATAGACTTGTCCTGAGATGTTGACCCTCCCAACTATAATATTTTGTATAAATATATTGCTATGTTACGGGATTCTCCTGATGTCTTGTCATATGTCCATAACTGCCTATTATATATTCCAACTGTTGGTTCCATTGGCATCTCAAACTCAACATCTCTAAAATAAATCTCCTCTCCCCCAAAATCTACTCCTCTTCATAACTTCCCTATTTCTATCAAGAGCAGCACCATCCTTTTTGTCCCGTAAGTTTGCGATCTTGTCTTTATGTTAGACTCCTCACCCTCACTCACCCTACATGTCCAGTCAATTGTCAAATCTTCCATTTCAGTATCCCTATCTCTCACATCTAATAAAGGCAACCACCCAGCTTCAAGCCCTCATCGCCTCTTGCCTGAACTATTGAAAACCCTCTTCACTGGTCCTCCTGCCTCATCTCTCCTCAATCCAATCCATCCTCTTCACAGCTGCTAACATGATTTTGTTCAAATGCAGCTCTGATTGTGTTACTTCTTTCTTCAGCATACTCCAACAGCTACCTTTGGCCTCAAGGATCAAAGATAAACTCCTCTTCTTCAAAATATCTTTCCAACCTAATTATGTATTATTCTTCCTGCATTCTGTGGTTCAACCAGTGTAGCCTTGTTGTTCCTCACCTACGACACTCCATCACCCTGTCTTCATGTCTTTGTACTCATTATTCCCTGTGCCTAGAATACACTCCTTCACCTCCACCTCTTAGAATTCCTTGCTGCTCAAGTACCACTTGATTCTCCTCCCCACCTCCTCCACTAGTGTCTTTCCCCCTAACATTTACCTTGTATGTATTTTGAATAAATAGTTATGTTCATATCATTAGCCCAATAGTGTACAAGCTTCTTGAGGTTGGGGATGGCTTCCTTTTTGTCTTGTGTCTACAGTGCCTGGTCTGGTACATAGTAGGCATTTAAGTACTCATTGATTCATTATCAGTAGCATTTATTGTATAATTATATTAGTTATAGCCACAGTATCTGAGATGCCCAAGGGAATGGGGAGCTTAAACACACACCACTTCCACCCCCTAATGGTGTTCCTGATGGGTCAATACACCAGCAAAACAGACACAGTATAAACGGACATCTTATAGCTGTACTTCATCGTTTTTGGCCTGATCCAGCTCTGTTTGCCTCTCAGTCTTTGCCAGGAAATTCTCAAAAGCAACAGGTTTCTGTGGCCTGTTTCAAAAGACACTAACCAACTGATCAATCAATCACAGAATATTTAGGTTCTTTCCAGTTTTTTTGCTGTCACTTATAGAGCAGATACAGACACATTTCTGTAAGCATCTCAGTCTTGTTTGAAGTTTAGGGTTCGCAGTGTTTTGGGTCTCATTAGCTTATTTCCCACTAGCCAAGCTTTGTCTTTCCATTCCACATAAAGCACTGTTTAAAGACTTTAAGTTAAGTTAAGTTAAGACTTTAAAGAGTTTAAAGACTCAGTGCCCCCTAAGCAGGGTCTATTTCACTTTTCTTGTTTTTAAATAAACTTGCCTGATTGAGCACTGTTAACATTGCCTATGATTCAGAAGCGGTCTGTGAGACAGGAATTGTTATACAGTTGGGACTTAGATATTTAGGAGGAAAAACAAATCACTTTGGTCATGACAGTGATGTCATTAGTTTGGCAACTTGATGATTTTGCTAGCTTCTGTGAACGTTTACAGGACTCTGATTTGGAAGAGATACCCAAAATGAGTGACACAAAGAATTTGAGGGCAAATTTTAAACTGTGGTAGTTACATGTTTTAAAAATAACTATCTTCACAGGATTCATTATTTCTGATGTAAATCAAATAACAGTAGTACAAGCAGCATAACAGCAGGCTTGTGTAGGAGGTAAATGTGGGTTTAAAAAAAGAACTGTCTTAGTTAATCACATATTTGACAGGTAGGCTTGTTTTCCCCACCCCCACCATATGCATTCTTTAGAGTATATATTTTAGCTTTAGGAAAGTCATTTAGTCCATCCACCACCAGGAAAAAGCACATGAAAACCTTCCCAGGTTTACTTCCACTAAGAAGGACTCCCCCCCAACCTCGCTCACTCTTGAAAACCATTATGATATTTAAGAATCTTATCAATAAATTCTTTAACCTAAAGCTCCTTATGCTACAGTTTAAATCATTTCCTCTTTTTTTCTGTTCTTAGTAGTATTAGCTAGTTGAGTTGGAACAAGAACAAACAACTAGT